ACGGCGTCCCGCGGTGGCCACACCCGCCCGGATCGAGGCGGGACGCCCACTAGGTGCTGCGCCACCGCGTCCCGGGCCTCTCGCCTCAGCTCCCGTGACACACGCCCAGGAGGCCCCTTATTCGCCGAACCGCGGGAGAATTAAGCGGGTCCTGGTGCAGACGCGGACGCTGAGGCCCAGGGAGGGGATGGGAGTTGCCCGAGGTCATCCTTTTCGAAGTTTTCTCTCCCTCATCACCCTCTTACCAGACCTGCACTTGTGTCGGTCACGTCAGTTTGACTCCCATCCTGCTTCCAAACCCAGAGATCTTGCATTCTCCTCCAACCACCCATGCTTCTGGTTCCCAGCTCAGCGTTTTCATCTTCCCACTTCTCAGATTCATTCCCAAGTCATCACCTCTCTCCCCCCCACCCCCTTTTGCCCTGCTCACAGCCCTAATCTTCCCTAACCCACTTCGCAGCCCTCCCATCTCTCACACCAACTCCCATTCACCCTTCATCCGATCCGTCATAACCCTAACTTCCTAACGCTGCCTGCTCGCTCTACCCATTCCCTGCATTGCATGTTGGGAAACCATTCAGTGAGTTGACTTAAAATTCTGTTTAGGTGGTTTTTAAAGCCTTCAGAAAGAAAAGGTGAGGAAGGAGACATGCTTTCAAAAAGATGTGCAAGAAGCCAGGGGATGCCACAAGGATAAAAGGGGTCACTGGAGTGAGCCACCCTTTGAAGGCCCTCTGCTGAGGTGGGCAGGAGTGTGGCCAGAGAATCTTGTTTTAGAATTCGTGGGCATTGAGTGTTAGCTCTTTGGGTGGACAGGACCAGCGAAGCCGAGCGTACAACCTGTTGGCAAAAACTCGCAACTGGGTGATACCAATTTAGAGTCTAAACTTCAGACCAGTGACATATAGGGATGCTTTGAATCCAGAAGACAAAGTTGTGGTCGGAGCCTGGGTTTTCAGTTTGTGCTGGAGCAATAGCCACAACATAGAGTTGAGGTTGCCAGGCTGGGTTGATGTCCAGGAATCCAGAGAGGTCTAGATGGCAAAGTGAAGCAGAGCTGGGGATACAAAAGGAGGTTGGGGGAGCCAGGGCTTATTCTGCGCCAGAGAGAGACAGCACCGTCATGAATATGGGTGTGGGAAGATGGGTGGGGCTCTATACATCAGTAGATCTAGGAATGAATGGCTGGGGGCCATTTGGTCTTTCTTGAGGGTAGCTGAGCAGGTGAGGCAGAGTAGAGCTGTATTGGTGCAGGGAGCCAGACGCTGAGCTAAGAAGGTAAATTATGCTAACATATTCGTTATAATCTTTAAATAGATAAGAATTTTGAATGCCGATGTGAGATTTAGATTTGGCCAAAACAGAGCTCATACTTAAGGAAGGAAGAAAGGAATGATTTGTGAAATATGTAGTATGTGTCAGATGCTTCCACATATGTTATCTCATTTAATTCTCTCAACAATCCTGGATGGTGGTATATATGGATGAGGAAAGTGATGCTCAGAGAGGGCAAGTAACTTACTCAAGATCATGCAGCTGGTAAGTGAAAGAGCCAGATTTAACCTCGGGCTGATCCATTTCCAAAGCATATATACTCTTGCCCACTACACTTACTACCTCTTTGGGTGGAATGGAGGTGGGAGGAGGTCAGGGGCTATGGGAGAGAGAGGAGGTAGTCTCCCAATATGTTAGTGAAAAGAGTGAAGCATTTCCCTTCTAAATAAAAATAAGTGATTATTAAATAGTGATTTTTTTAAAAAGGGGAAATTTAGAGAGGAAAGTACTTGTACCTTCTCTAGGTATTTTCAAATTGTGTGTCATGTTGCTATGAATAGAAATTACAGACTTAATATTTATGCTGTTATTTTAATAAAGTGTTCTATTTTTATAGAAAAAGTATACTGTACTGGATTGTGTGCTAAATATTCTGGCCTCATCAGTTATCTATCTCTTGGCAAATTAGATGGCTTGTCAGGCTCTGTTTTTTGCCCCTGATGGCTGCTAAATAAATGGTACTTGGAAGGAAACAAAAATTGGCCCCTTTGGCTTTGCCCTTGTGGATCTAACACTTATGAAGCAATGGCTGATATCACTCTTCCCTCTCACCCTCTCTTTCTGCCAGAAGCTGACTCCTGTCTCACTCGGTTCACCGTCCCTCAGACATACAATTACTCTGTTCTCCTTGTGGATCCTGCTTCCCATACACTTTATGTCGGCGCCCGGGACACCATCTTTGCTTTATCTTTGCCCTTCTCAGGGGAGAGACCCCACAGGGTGAGAGATGAGAGTGGGGAGGACTTTAGAGCATGTGATTAGATCTATGGTTTTATGAGATATGGGGGGGGGGTTGTGGTAGGAGGAGAAGTGCTGGTGAAAATGAATAGGGGAGGTCATCAAGTACATGATCTCAGTTGAGAGTGATTGGGGGGTCCTGGTGACTAGGGAGGATGTGAGGGAGGTTCATGATGGGCAGAGGCCACAGTAACCAGGTTTTAGGTGACATTGGGCAGAGAAATCATTAGAATCACGTTACTCTAGGACAATAGCTTTCAAACTTTTTTGACCTCCCCTCAGTAAGAAATATATGGTAACATTTTGACCCAATACACAAAGTATATACTGAAAGAAAGCTTTCTTGAACCAATATCTACTCTCCTGTATGTGATATATCTTTGTTAAAAAATATATATATTTTGTTAAAAATAATGTTGGTCATGATTTCACAATTGATTTCATTACTCATTAATATCTGGAGACCTCCAGTTTTAAAAACAGTGCTCTGGGGGATGGGAGGTTGTCTCTGAAGTTGCCAAATTGATGGAGGTAGTGGGACTGTGTTACCTACCCTGACTTGGGAGGAACTGGGGGAGAATCTGGGAGAAATGATCATTCCTCCTTTCTCAGATTGACTGGATGGTGCCTGAGGCCCACAGACAGAACTGTAGGAAGAAAGGCAAGACGGAGGTAGGTGTAAATCTGGGCCCTGTCCTGAGTGTCAGTTGAGATTTTGGCCCAGCCCTGACTCTCTGTCAGTCCCCTGCAGTGCTGCTACCCCAGTGGGCCCAGGCAGGGACTCTAACACCATATCATCACCCATCATTTCTGATCCCAGAGCTGCATCTAACTGGCCTGACACTACCCTACCTTTCCTTGTACCTGCTGCTTCTGATTCTCTCTAACCATCTCTGACCCCCAGGACGAATGTCACAATTTTGTCCAGATTCTCGCCATTGCCAATGCCTCTCACCTCCTCACTTGTGGCACCTTCGCTTTTGATCCGAAGTGCGGGGTTATTGTGAGTGACAGGGGTGGGAGGATGGGAAGGGTCTTCTGTGAGTGACCATGATTGGGGGGGGCATGCTTAAGGCAACCCTTGTGCATGATAAGCATTGGGGGTGAGGGATGTCCTCACAGGGTGGAGCCTTTGCCACTGGAGGAGGGTACGAAAGGGTGGGGAGGGAGGTTGTCTGTAGAAGGTAAGTTATATAAAGTCTAGAGAGAGATGTAGTGGGACAGTGAAGGAAGTTTAGGGATGCTAGCTGGGCTGGGGAGAAGAGAAATCCGGGAGAGACTTCAGAGACTAGTAAATGACTCATGTTTCCTTGTTCCTGTGTGTGCTTTGTCCAGGCAGCCTGGGTAATTTCTTTGTCTTTTTTTTTCTGGGTCCATTTCTTAATCAGCACAGTCCATGCCTATTTCTTCCTCCCATAGCATGTAACTCTGACTACCACTGCCCACCTTCACTGCCAACCCCATTCTATGTGGGTTGCGACCCTCTGCTCTCATGGGCTTCTGAGGCCACTGCCCTCTAATGTGGCTCCTGCTGGCACCATACTCTGGATCTTGCCTTCAGGGTGGCCACTGTGTCAGCCACAGTTTCTTCTAGGTCCTGTTCATTGCTGCCGAAGCCCTGGCATTTCCAGCTTCACATCCAGGCAGGCTTGGGACATATATACCCCTAATCACATCTAGGCTAGTCATGGCAACAAAAGTCCCTGGGACTGGTGACATCTAAGGAAGGGTCTTAATGTTTTTGAACCCTCATCTTTTCCCATCAGTTATCCAGTAGTCAGTCACTGTTCCTCTGGGAGCACACGTTTGTGACAAGGCTCTGGGATGAGTTGAAAGCTTCACTCGTCCTTCCCATCCAGTAACTTCCCTTCCTTCTCCGTAGAGCAATAGGAGGGAGTGAAATGACTCCTTTTCCTGACCCTGATCTTTAATTGTCTATCTTGACTTGACCCTTCTGCAGTCTTCAGTATACACTTGGATCTAGTGTGTACCTCTAAACCTCTCTTTGCTAAAGACCATCCTCATATTTCTGGCTTAGAATGCTCTAGTTGTATATGCTTGATATACAGCCAGTCCCTATGGGCTGCCCTTGGGTTTAGTTGGGTTTATGATGTATCCTTTTCATAATGTGGGTGATGGACTCCTTGCTGGGTGTGGATAGCTCCCTAATCCTGTCATTGTGGGAAGGGTTCCTAGGCCTGGGTGGTATTGAAAATCTCTATATTCTGTCAGGTAATTTTGACTATCTAGTTTCCTGTAGTCCTCACAAAGCTCACAAAGTAGCAGCAGAACTGTCATTGCCATACTTGTTCTTTTTCGGCCTGCGCAGACTCAGAGAGCCCATGGATATGAATATCAACCAACCATGGCTTATAGAGAATAGACTTACTCCAAGTTAATCTCCCAGGGCCTTCTATTCTTCCTTGGCTGTCTGAGGTGGGACTCTAATGGTTGTTAGGTATCCAGACAGAAAATGTTCTGGACATACTTGTCAGGATTGATGTGACTTGGACCCCTGTCCACTCTCAAGGAACATCAGCACCAAGAGCGAAGCCAGGGGCCTGTGTTCTACACTCCCACAACTTTCAGCTCTTCTTCTGAACCCTCCTATCTAGCAGGCTCATGAAATGCAGGGCTATCCTTTTTTCAAGGCTTGTTTGTAGGAGAATATAGGGCACAGAAAGAGCAGCTGCTTAACCCTTCAGGCCACATATCAAGATTGCCCACTAGACTTCCTGAATGCTCTCTTCTGTCTTTTCCTGCGTGTCTTATCCTATCTGGCAACACCCATCTACTTGAGCAAGTTCTTTCCTTATCCTTAGTGTTGAAACTCATGTCCCAGACTGATGACTTTGAGACTATGCATAACTGTTTTCTGAGAGCTTTGACTAGCTAACTAGCTGCTCCAGACACAACCACTTGCTCAGAGTTGATTGCTCAGAGAAATGAAGGTTCTTACAAAAGGAAGTTCAAGTACTGGACCTATCAGTTCCAACAGTGTGGAGTGCTGCCCTTCAGTGACAGCTCATCAGATATTGGAGGAAAATGTTTTAATTGTTTTGTTGAGGGAACTCCAGCAGTTAATAGAGAAAAGTGTTAGACTTACAATGAAAATAAGACTTCACATTCAGTTGAGTAATCTGTTCTAGGCTTGGTGCTGGGTACTTTACATTCATGATTAAGTTTAATTTTCACCACAACATCCTAATATTTAGATATTATTTCTTTCCATTTTATAGGCAATGAAATAAAAGTTCAGAAAAGTTAGGTACCATGTCTAACATTATATATCTAGCAGAGGCAGAGCCAAGATTCAAACCCAGCTTTGTCTGGCTCTGTTCCACTACCCTGACCCTCTAGTCTAACCTGCAGTACAGAAGACCTTACCTGGCTTTAACTTATTGTGACATTTGACCTGTTTCATGTAACAGGGACTCCCCGCCCCTGCCCCCCTCAACCACCTGGGAAAGGTCCTTGGCCAAGGCAGAAGGATGGATTCCAGCCCTGCAGCTCAGTGAGAGCCTTCCTACCTAGCTCTGGCTTTCAGCTTGAGGGACTTCCTTCATCACAACTGATGTGCTGATTGACACAATGAAGAATCTCAACATTCAGAGAGAGAGAATGTACTAGAGTGATCTTGCCCCTTTCAGACCCTATTAAATGTCACTTTGACCATACAGTAATCATAACCTGTTTAGTCAATAGGAGGCTCACTTGCTCAAAGGCTACAAACCTAGATTACTTAATGATTCTACTTGGAGAAACTGGAAGAGGGCTAGTTTTGACATGATGAGTTTAAGGGACTGATAACCCATCTGTGAGGAAGCCCAGCAGTCAAGTGCAAACGTGGACTAGAGTTGGAAGACCTTAGACTTGGAGAGTTTGATGAATGACTTGTGTAGATTTGGCTGGCAGTATAAGAAAAAATGAGAGCTTTAAAGTATATGTGCAAAGGACTAAGGATAGATTTTTTAGGGTTCATAGTTAGGGACTAGAAAGAAGACAAACAACCAAAGGAGATAGAAAAACAACAGTTAGGAGGAGGGACTCCAGGAAGGTGCAGTTTCAAGAAAGTCAAGAAATAGAGTATTTCAAGGAGGAAAGTGAGTCAAAAGTAGCAAAAAGGAAATATTAAAGAGAATGAAAACTGAGAAAAGGATCACCTTTTCAGTCCTTGGTGAAATATAAGGGAGTAGTTTCAGGCATAGAGATGGGAAAATGTAATTTGTTTTCTAGGAATAACAGGTGAGCCAGGTTTGGTTAGAAGAAAGAGTTCATTTTTTATTTATTTTTAAAATATATCTGTAATGATTTCAGAGAGAGGAAGGGAGAGGGAGAGAGAAATAGAAACATCAATGATGAGAGAGTTGTCATTGATCGGCTGCCTCCTGCACACCCCCGACTGGGGATTGAGCCTGCAACCTGGGCATGTGCCCTGACTGGGCATCGAATCGCAATCTCCTGGATCCAGGGTGGAATCTCAACCGCTGAGCCATGTCTGGCTGGGCGAAAGAGTTCATTTAAAGAAGTATTAGAGAATAACTAATTTGGGTTAAAGAGTTTCTACTCCAGGCAGTGGTGAGCCATTTTGTCATTCTCTTGCTCAAAAATTAATCAAGTCAGTGACTGATGGTCTAGGAATATTATTCTGGGGTGGATATGTAGAGTAAATTGGGGTTGAGGCTAGGCAGTGTGGCGGAAAGGGGTTACTGCCATAGTTGAGGTGAGAGGGCCACAGTAGCAGGTTTTAACCCTGTCTCCAAAGTGCCCAAACATCTTGGTAATTTCTCACTGAACTGTCATCTTTCTCATTAGGCTAAGATGCTCCCACTGCCACACAGTTAAGGTGCTTGGTTCTCCATTCCCGAAAACTCTTTCGACCCAATATAACCTTTTGGGGAACCTCAGATCACATCTGATTTTAACAGGCATTAAGACTCTCTCCATAAAATAAAACCTTGTTTTCCAATTACACAAATAGACAAGCAGTAAAAATGAGCCAGTAGTGTGCTTATGCTCAGGGGACATATATCTACAATTGCAACTCCAGCTACCATCCAGGTTATTAGGCTCCAGCAACACCATATGTCCACACTAGTTTGTGTCCCAGAAATATCATGCCTGGCACTTCTATGCCATAGCTTTGATTCCTAACCAGCCACAGTTAGCATTCCCTGTCAGTCCTAGGTTGAAATCATTTCTGATTTCTATTTTTAAATGTTATCTTGGAGCCTCTCTTAGTGCATGAAGCTTAGCTAAGGTAACTTCTGGCTGGCTTTTATACCTTTTGCCCCCTCCCAAGTCACTCCTTCTGGAGTCCCTGGATGAGGAAGGCATTTAATTAGCAAATCCTCAAATTTTCACCTTTCACTGACTTTGCAGATGCTCTTCCCCATTCTCTGTATCCTTGACTCTGGTCACATCTTTCATCCTTGGGGTGGGAGTAGGGAGAGGATGGCACTTCTCTTTAGACCCCTGGATTTCAGATGATCCTATATCAGTCTCTCCTTTTGTTTACCCTTCCTAAGGGCTTCAGACCTCAGGAGACCTGCTGTTTTCCCTGGTCCTCCCTGCCCTGTAGCACATTCTCCAGCCAGTTGCAATTCAGCACCATTTCAGAGGAAAGATCTGCCTTTCAGCCTCTCCCTGTCATCTAGGCTCATCCTAGGTGTTCCTTCATCAGAGCATGTGGTTGTTGGGTACTAGGGGAATTGAAGGAAGAGGAATAAACTGATGAAAGAGGGATGGCAGAGATGGGAAATGCAGGAATGGGCGGGAGAATCAGGAGTAACAGGCTAGGAATATGGGGATGATAGCAGAGGAATGGGAATTGGGCTTTTCTTTCATCTGACCATCTTTGTAATTTTCATCATGAACCTCCTGTGACCCCTAAACCAATTGCCCCCTTCTGGTCTGTAGGCTGTGTCCAGTTTCCAGCAGGTTGAAAGAATTGAGAGTGGCCGGGGGAAATGTCCTTTTGAGCCAGCTCAGCGGTCAGCAGCTGTAATGGCTGGTGAGTGGGAGAGACAAGAACCTGTGACTTCTTGGTATAATTGCTTCCTTCCCCACCCCTGCTGTTGGACTTTCTGTGTCCTTCCTCTCCTCTCCTAGGAATGTCTGTCACTCCCATGTCTCTTTCTAGCCTTTCCTGTTCTTCCCAGCGTGCCTGTGCCCTGCTTTTCTCCAGAGTACTGTTTCCCTGGGTTCTCCCTAGAGAATGTGTTCTCTGCACCTCTGGTATGAGTGTGTCCTCTGTGCGCTGCATTTTCTTTTCTCCTTTTTTTTCTGTTTATAAGAGAGTCTACTACAATGCATATTGTAATACACTTGGAAAAAGTATAAAGAACATATGAAGTCTTGTAGAACAGTACTGTTCAAAAGAACTTTGGGTGATGATGGAAATGTTCTGTATCTTCACTGCCCAATGCGGTAGCCACTAGCTACATTTGGTTATTGAGCCCCCGAGATAGGGCTAGGACGACTGAAGGAAAGAATTTAAATTGTATGTAATTTCAGTTTAAATGTAAATAGTCACATGTGTATAGTGGCTACTATATTAGCACAGGTCTAGAGTATCCGTACTTAGAAAACCACTATTAATATTTTAGGATATTTCCTTCTGTCCATTTGTAATATGTGTGTGCAGACACATAGACACGCACATGCATATTTTGTTGGCCAGTCCTTCCTTGCTCTGAGGAGTCGGTAATGACTATTGAATAAGTACATGCTGTTACTTCCTTTGAACAAGCCATGTATTGTTACTCAAGTGTTGAAAGTTTCTTTCACAGCTTATGTCTAAATCTTTTCTGGAGAATGACTGCTTAATTCTTTGGTAGCCACAAAGTGAGTTGTTTGTATGCCACACAGCCTGTATTTTAGATTAGAGGACTCCACATGCACCCTCCAAATTCAGTGAGAATCCAGCTATTTTCTCATGATAGTGTCAAACAAGCAGGTTAGTAGAAATTTTATGAGTGTGTATGTTATAAAACTTTTAAATGCCGTGCTACATGGGCATAATTTTGAATTTTGTCATGTAACTTTATATCATAGGCATTTCTGTATAATTTCTGTATAAGTTTTAATGAGATCATGCTATTACTCATCCTGTGAGCATACAGAAATTTAATTAAATAATTAGAAATCATTTATATAAATTAGTTTTATTTAGTTTACTGCCAAGTTTTTGCTATTATCCATTAGCACTGTAATGAAGATTTTTGTGTATAAATTTTTGTTCTTATTTTAGATTATCTCCTTAAGATTTCTGGAAATAAGTCACTATATCAAAGGGTGTGAGCCTTTTATGGCTCATTATCTGTTGCTAATTGGGTTTGTAGAAAGAGTGTACAAATTTACACTCTAAATCAGCAGTAAATGAGAGGTTTCTGGTTTTGTTTTTTTTCTCTCACATAAATTTCACCAAAATGTGTTGTCATTTTGAAAGATCTTTGAGCCCCGGCTGGTGTGGCTCAATTGGTCGGGCGTTGTCCTATGCATCAGGAGGTTGCTGATTCTATTCCTGGTCAAGGGCAAATGCCCCAGTGGCAGACTCCATCCCCAGTGGTGGTGGTAGTGGTGGTGGTGGTGGGGGCATATGCTGGAGGCAGCTGATCCATGTTGTGGACTCACATTGATCTTTCCCTCTCTCCCTCTCCCTTTCTCTCTCTCTAAAAATCAATAAACTATTCTTTTTTTTTAAAAAATATTTCTTTATTGATTTCAGAGAGAGGAAGGGAGAGGGAGAGAGAGAGAGACAGAAACATCAATGATTAGAGAGTCACTGATGGGCTGCCTCCTGCACGCCCCTGACTGGGGATCGAGCCTGCAACCCAGGCATGTGCCCTGACTGGGAATCGAACCCCGATCGCCTGGATCCTAGGTCGACTCTCAACTGCTGAGCCACGCCTGGCCGGGCAATAAACTATTCTTTAAAAAAAGAAAAAAAATCTTTGAGAAAACCTGTGAGGCTAAAAATAGTACCTTGTTTTAATTTGTATTTCTTTGAATACTAGAGAAGTTGAACATTTTTCATGTTAGTACTGTTTTTATTTCTCCTCTGATAAGTCCTCTGCTTACATTCTTGGGCCAATGACCAGGTAGGATATTAGTGTTTCAATCTACACATTTTCCTTTCTAATTATATTTTTAAAGTTAAATCCTTCAGAGAGCAGATAAAAGTTTTTTTCTTAAAAATTTCCCCCCAAACATTTAACATTTTGATTTATTTGTAACTTATTTTGATGAATGACATGAAATAGAGATCTAAATTAATTTTTCCCAGATAGCTAATCAGTTGACTCAGCATCATTCATCATACTGTTTTTTCTTTCTTCACTGACTTTTGCTGTGGACTTTGTTATAAAATAATTTTTACCTACACTTCTGGATAATATTTTATGAAAAAGAAAAATTGAAATGTAAGATCTAACAATGAAACTTTTTTCTTATACATGACTTCATAGGAAAAGTCATAAAAGCTATATAAATTAAATTACTTTTAGTCAGATAATTAATGACTTACCTTTTCTGAAAAGTAATAATATAAATGTTTTGAAAGTGAACATAAGTATATATCTAGTAAATACAATATTTGGGTTGTCGTTTTTATCATTCATCTATAGTTGAAATTGATGAGATGTTGTTTGTGCTCATACGTATTTAAATAAAACAGTTAAATCAATGGTTTATTTTTCTTGGCTTTTTATCAAGCATGTTTGGCAAAACTCTGAGCCAGTCATTGGAGTCATTAAGAAAGAAAGTGGTTGTGAATGTTTCTTTTTTAAAAAAAGATTTTTAGTTGATTTTTAGAGAGAGAGGAAGGAAGAGGGAGAGGGAGGGAGGGAGGAAGGGAGGGAGAGAGAGAAACACAGCAATGTGAGAGTGCAACGTTGATCAGCTGCCTCTTACACGCCCCCCTACAGGGAATTGAGCCTGAAATCCAGGCATTGCCCTGACTGGGAACTGAACCAGTACCCATTCACTGTGCAGGAGGATGCCCAACCAACTGAGCCACATGGGCCAGGGCTGTGAATGTCTCTTGCTTTTACAAAGTTGTTTATCATAAAAATGACTTCTCAATTGCAACAATCTAAGATAATCATTTAATGTACTTCCTTTTTTCTAAGCAGTAAACTTTAAGTACATTCAACTTTCTGCTTGTAATTTCTCTGTATTCCATTCAGCAAGTGGATTTGCATTAGCATGTGGTTCAAGGGCACAAATTTGAAAAATATCGTCATTGTATGATAAAGAAAATTTTCAAAAAGAAAGAACATTTTCAAGAAGGTCTCAAGTCTTTTTTTCCAGATAAAGAAATTCAAGGATAGCTTTTGTCTGATAATTGATGTAACTGATCAGGAATCACTTTAAAACAGTTTGGAGTGACTAGCTTTAGACAGTTGACATACAACCTCCATGTCTTTCTGTCTCAGATCCAAGTTATAGTCAATACCAACATAAATTTTCCTCTCAAGTTCTTACTTTATAGGGTTATAATTTAAATTTTTCTTGGTCTGACATAAGTGCCAGTATTTAGTTCTAGCTTTCAATATTGATTCATTATGCCCTGTTGCCCTGTTTTGAAAATAACGGTGTAGAAAATAGTGCCAACATTAGGTAAGAACTAGAACCAAAATTCCTAGTTGGGAGATATAAAAATGTCCTTAAAGATAATAGAGGTATTTTGAAATAAAAGAGGTTTTAGTAATGAAAATAATAGAAAATAATATTGATTAATAGAATATAATAAAATAATACATTTTCAATTATAAAAATTACAATGTGCATTGTAAAAAATGTAGAAATGTTAAAGAAGAAAGTGAAAGGTTTATTTGCAACGCAATCATTACCAGATAACTACTATTATTTTAGACTATTTTCTTCTGTGTGTGTCTGTGTGTGTGTATTTATAATAAATTGGAATTATTATGCATATTTCACTTAGTATTGTATACTAACCATTTTCTTGTCATAGAAATTAATTATTCAAAACATGTTTTTTATTGATTACATACTATTCCATCATATAAATATAACACAATTTAATTGTTCCCATGAAATTATGCATTCAGATTTTGTAATTAGTGCTTTTATGAATAATGCTGCAGAAAAAAATCTATTTACATAAAGTCTTTACGTAAATTTCATTAATTGCGTATGAGTCAATCCAAAAAGTAGGCTTGCTGGGCTAAAGGATGTAAAGATTTTTATGGTGCATGATGGATTTATCTAAATTCCTCTCCATTTAGTCCCACCAACAGTGATGAGTGGGCCTCTTTCATTGCATCCTTGTCAGTCCCAAGTAATATATGTAATAAAACATACAAACAGTGACCTTCTCCAAAGTCCAATATGATGTATTTTTTATTTTAATCTTTATTAGTGAGATTGAACAACTTTTAATTTGTTTATTGGTACTTGTATTGTTTTGGGGGAAAAGCCTCCAAAATTTGTCTTCAGATATAACATTTATCTATTCTGCACTGAGATAAAATTAACAAAATAATCTCAGTGTCTCTATGCATTGTTCAGATTCAGAAATATTGTCAAATATTTTGACAATAATGTTCACATTAGCCTAAAATGTCTTCTGCTCATCTTTAAATGTTGGGGCTCCTTATACTTCTACCCCAAATCCTCTTCTCATTCTGTGTGGTTTTGATCACTGCATTCTGATGACTTCCAGACATTATCTGGAGCTACAGATCACACACCCAACATCTCCACTTGAATGTCCCACAGGAATCTCAAAATCAGCATTCCCCAAACTGAGCTCATTATCTTCACTCACCTCCCCCAAACCTGCTCCCCCACCAGTGTTCCCTCCTCTGAGTGCATACCCACCTAGGGACCTAAGCTAGAAATAGCAGTCAGTCATCTCTGTTTCTTCCTATCACATCCTATAAAAAAAAAAAAATAGAGCTTATATCAAGAAGAGCAGAAGGAGGGAGCTTTTGCTCTTTCTCTTTGGGAACTTGCCCTGGGTTTTTATTATCTTCTTTTGGTCTCATTGCATCTTGTGGTTACTGCATCTGCCAAGGAGTACTGCAGTTGCATCTGGAACAGTTGCAGTGCTCCTTTGCCTGTCAGTGTTGGGTTCTAACACACCTGGGAAGATTGACTTCCACAAATAATTGTGATTCTTCATCTTTTGTAGCTTTCAGTCTTTTGGATTTCTTTCTTTTTGCCAGCATTTTGGGTCCTAGCCTACCTCTTAAATCCAGGTGTGTCTGCCTCAAGACTAGCATTCACACACTGAAATAAGACAGTTATACAGCCAACAGAGGAAAAGGTAAACACTGCATCTCTACCTATCTAATTATGTCCCAATAATAGGCTGTGTTTTAAAGAAAAGTGTCTAACTGTCCCAATCTTTAGATAAGGAAATGGTGACTATTAAGGTAGCAGTTATTTATCCTGCAAAGCTCTGATCATGAGAAGAGAAGGGAGTGGAGGAAGGAAGGCCAGGGTATGTTTAAAAATAATATTTTTAAAGCTAATTAATGATAATTCCTATTTTAAACCTTTAAAGGTGAGCATTTTGATAAGAAAGTAAAAATTTGAAACCCCAGCCCAGCCGGGCGTGGCTCAGTGGTTGAGCATCGACTTAGGATCCAGGTGATCAGAGTTCGATTCCCAGTCAGGGCACATGCCCAGGTTGCAGGCTGCAGCCGATCAGTGGTTCTCTCATCATTGATGTTTCTATCTCTCTCTCTCCCTCTCCCTTCTTCTCTGTGAAATCAATAAAGATATATTAAAAAAAAAAAATTGAAACCCCAGAGTAGTGAAATATTCATTGCTATGACACTACCCTAGCCTGTCACTGTTGGGTTCTAACACATTTGGGAAGCTTATGCTCACAGGCTTTACATCTGAGCAGGTAGAGATTGACTTCCACAAATAATTGTGATTCTTCATCTTTTGTAGATTTCAGTCTTTTAGGTTTCTTTCTTTTTTCTTTTTGTATTACTAAAATGAAAATATCTTAATATTTTGGGTTATAAAATTAAAAGATGCTAACTACAAAAACCAGCGTATATGGAGAAATGAAAATCACTTGTAATTTCATAGTCAGAAACAAGCCTCATTAACACTGTAGAGTTGTAGCTCCTTCAGCGATCTTCACTATGCCTGCAGACATGTATGCATATCTTTAAAAATCTGGTTGAGTTGTACCCAGTGTTTTGTTTTAACCAGCTTGTTCACTGAACCCAACACTGTGAGCATCTTTCTCTTTTGCACATCACCTTTTGCCAATGGCAAATGTATATTTAAATGTCCACTGACTTGATCCATTTAGTAATCACAAAAAACTGCACGTGCAGGGGTATTTTATTATATGGACAGTGCAACAGAATACTTGGAAGTGAGACTGTCCTGGAGAATCTAGGACATGTGGTGATCCTGTGTCCTGTAGATTCCTGCCCTCATTGACTGATGGCTGCTGTTCCTTCTGTGTGTGTGTGTGTGTGTGTGTGTTTAAGACTGTTGCAAGTCTCTTGGTACACCTGGAACCCTGTTACTTCCTCCCAAAGTGTCTGATCCCTTCTGCAGCCCCTTAGTGTCAGTGACCCACTGCTATTTCATCCTGAGTGTGCCCCTCAGCAATTCCAGGCTCCAGAGTTGCTGAGTGCCTCCATTGACCCCTTAGAAAGTTTTGGGACCCTTTACCTATCTGCCACTGGGTCCTTGCAGTGAAGGAATACTTACGATTGTTTCCCCACTCACACACAAACACCAAATCCTACTCCTGGCATATTTATAACTGTGTTCACCATATCTCCCTCCATTCTCAGGGTATGCATGATACAGCTTCTACCAGAGTTTTGGTTTTAGATTGCTTTGTGTACAACACTCTTAAGAAAGTTTCATTCCAACTCTGGCTTCTTTATCAGCCTTTCTTCCCATTTGAAATATAGAGGATCGGCTCATTTGCTCCTCCATTTGCTGCCAGGACCTGTGCCCCAAGCCTGGTTTTCTCCCTCCTGAAACCTCTGCAAGGAAATGGGTGCCATTTTATAGTCCCTCTACCTCTGGCGACAGTTTAAGCACAAGGCCCCTTGATAGTTCATAAGGGGCTGTAACCAACATGTATTGAATGCCAGCCATGGGCCAGGCCCTTCCTGGGGCTCTGTGTTTATCTCATTTAAGCCTCAGCTCTGCTCCTAGGAACCTGAGGCTTAGGAAGGTTAATTTGCCCAAGATCTTACCCAAGCCTTCCTGGCTCTAACGCACTTGGATTCTTATCACAAACACTTATCACAAGTGATAGTATAGTCTCCCCTCCCCACTCCACAAGGATGTTTCTAACCCTCTACTGTTGCCGTCTGAGGGCTCTTGGCTTTGTTTCACTCTGCATAGCATGATTTTTTGTTTTTGGTTTTTAAATATTTTTATTGATTTCAGAGAGAGAAAGGGAGGGGGAGAGAGAGATAGGAACATCATTGATCAGCTGCATAGCATGCTTTTAAAATAGTGGTTATCTTTCTGGTGCCTGAGGCATGCAGCTTTGCTCAAGCGTGACTGTTTTTCCTTTATAGTGGCCCTACTCTCTACAGCTTCCCTCCACGGGTGTGAGCCCCGTGGCTCTTGCTGGGTTTCTGCGCACCAGCTTCTGGCACACCAGCCTCTCTTGCTTCTCCATCCTCTCTAACTTGATCTTCTGAATTGCCTTCAGTAGCTTCTCCCCTTAAATGGTGGTGTCCTAGGGCTCTTCCTGCTTTCCATCTTCCCTGTCTATTACTTTTATGCTATGACTTAATAAGCGTGACTCCCAAGTTCCTGATTGGCCCTGATGCCCAACCCCTTCTGTTTGATTGCCTTCCAGTATCTCCAACCAGATGTCCTGAAGGTTCTTCAACCTTAGCATGTCCAACAACTAAGCTCACTTCTTCAGCCACCTCCTTTATGGGCCTTCTCCTGTCATTTCCTGGCTTGGTTCATAATACCACCATCTACTATCATCCATCTTCTAAGCTGGACACCTCAGAGATATATTTTATTCCATTTTTCCACACCTCATATTCCATTGCTTTTCAAATATTGTTATGGACTCTACCTAAGAAATATCTCCCAAGTCCAGTCCCTTTATTCCCTCTGCCCCTGTCTTAGTTCAGGCCCTTCACTCTTGCCCACACTGTGTGGATGGTCTCTTAACTGTCATTATTTTCTTAAAAACCAAAACTGATTATGTCACCTCATCTTCAAGAAAATCTCTGCAGTTTTTCTCTTACCTATAGGCTCAAGTCCATGTTCCTGGTCCTGGCAGAGCAGACTCATCACAATTGGTGCCCATCTCTGCACCTCCAGCTGCACCTCTGCTCACCTGCCTGGCAGCCCCTGTATTGCCGTGGTGCTTCAGCCATGGGGGAGTACCCCACATCCCTAAACATGGCTCCCTTCTTCCCATGGGTTTATCATTGTCCCTGAAGTCCTTCTTCCTGGCAAATGCTCATTCTTCAGACCCAGCTCAGATGTCACCTCTGAGATGCTGCTCCTCCAGTCAGATGTGGCTGGGTTGTCTCCTCTGCTCCTGCATGTATCTGTGCATCCACACTTCTTGGTATCTGATTAAACATTTGTCTTCTGGACTCAGATGACGATTCTTAGGGGCAGTGATGTGCTTAACACCTGGCACGGTGCCTCGTATGTAGTAAGTGATGAAGGAGTGCCGCTCTGTTCTCTACAGAACCCTTGTAATACAAAAAACTCCCAGGGGTTGTGACCTTTTACTCTCCTGAATTGTTTTCTCCTGCATGTCCGAGCCCTTGGCAGTGGTACTCAGAGTGGCTACAGTGCTCTCACATTCAGCCCACAGAGCTGCACCCCTCCTTCTCTCTCAGGAACCTGCATTTTGATCAACTCCCCGACCGATAATAGCATACACTAAAGTTGTGACTTGTTCCAAAGCAGTGTACACCCACTAATGTTCAGAAAGAACGCTAGTTCCTTCAGGCATTTACCAGAGTGGGAGAACTTAAGTAAGGTTGGGACATGCTGCAAAGCAAACCCCCTTCCTGGAGAGTAGCAGTATAATTAGCATTTTACAGGCTAGAGAAATCTCCAAAACAACAAAAACAACAAGCAAACCAACTAAACAGCCTGATTTCCACAAGGACAGCTTTTAGTTCCCCTTTATACACATTAACACTTGGCACTTTTCCCTTAATACTGGTTCCCTCCCTGCCCTGAAACACTTCATGTCTAGGATGATTTTAAGCAAGGGGATGCCTGTCCTGTGCTTAGGATTGTGGAACACTTAATGGGTGCTCAGCCCCTAAGAGTTCCTGTCCCTGCTTTACTCCCTGCTCTGCCTGTGGCCCCTTTTGCTTCCCTCAGGGGTCTCTTACAGATCATCTCCTCCCTGTCTCCCTGCAGGGGGCGTCCTCTATGCTGCCACTGTGAAAAACTACCTGGGGACAGAGCCCATTATCTCCCGGGCTGTGGGTCGTGCTGAGGATTGGATTCGGACAGAGACCTTGCCATCCTGGCTTAATGGTGGGAGAGGGAGAGGGGTGCTGTGGGGACAGAGAGGGTGGGAAGAGGAGGGGGTAGCCCAGGCTGTGTCTGTGGGATCTGAGGCCACAGGTCTCCCCAGCTCCAGCCTTTGTCGCAGCCGTGGCCTTGAGGCCAGCCGAGTGGGGGGATGAAGATGGAGACGAGGAAATCTACTTCTTCTTTACGGAGACTTCCCGAGCCTTTGACTCATACGAACGAATTAAGGTTCCTCGAGTGGCCCGTGTGTGCGCGGTGAGACTCCAATCCCAGCTGTCTGTTGTCCATTGCTCTGCCTGGCCTCTGTCTTTTCTTCTCTGTGTCTCTGTCTTTTCATCTCTCCTCTGTCTCCTTCTTTTTGTGTGTCATGATTTCTTTTCTGGGAGCTCAAAGAGTATGGGGAAAGGGCTCTAGCCCTTTTAACCCCATAATTACCCTTGTGACACTGTCCCTAGGAGGTGGACTAGTGTAGAGGTTAAAAGCGGGAATTATTGACAGACCTGGGCTCCAGGCCCTGCTCCACTACTTATAGCCTCTGTGACTTGGGGCAGGTTCTTTAGCATTTTTACAGATGAGGATATTGATGATGCCTAGCTATATAAGGGTTGTTTTGAGGCCTAAATGAGGTAAGTTATGTAAAGCACGTAGTACATTACTTCATAAGTGCACAGTGAACTTAGTCACTGTCATTGTGACCCTTTCCACCCGTATATCATTACCCCCACTGTTACTCTGTCTGTATCTCCGTCATTGCATTTCTATGCATCTGTCTCCCCATCTGTCCTTGTCTGGGGGAAACTCATATTGGTCTCCACATTTTCCCTACAATGTTGGTCTTCTTCTAAAGAGAAATGCCCATGCTCTTGTTACCCCAGGGGGACCTTGGGGGCCGGAAGACCCTCCAGCAGAGGTGGACAACCTTTCTGAAGGCTGACCTGCTGTGTCCAGGGCCTGAGCATGGCCGGGCCTCCAGTGTCCTGCAGGATATGGCCATTCTTCGACCTGAGACTGGAGTGGGGACCCCCATCTTTTATGGCATCTTTTCCTCCCAGTGGTGAGGGGGTCCTGGTGTGGAAGAGAGTTACAGGGTGGGAGATATGTGGGGTTGGCACAGTGTCAGTGCTGTCTCCTCCAGTGGGGGTAGCCTCTCACCGGAGCAGGCTGCACACCTCCCATGCATTTTTCATGGGTCATCTCATTTGATATGGGGGGAGTAGTTGTCCCCTAGTGCTCTTCAAATAATCTGGCTCCAACCTGTGACTCTTACAGGGAGGGGGCTGCCATCTCTGCTGTCTGTGCCTTCCAACCACAAGACATTCGGACAGTGCTGAATGGTCCCTTTAGAGAGCTGAAACATGACTGCAATAGGGGACTGCCTGTCATGGACAATGAAGTACCCCAGCCCAGACCTGGAGAGGTAAGGGGTCTGGGGCAGCTGTTCATGCCAGAATTGCCTCATTAGAGCAAGAGCCCAACTAAGCATCACGGATACTTCCTGGCCCTGGGAAACTTTGTCACCCACCCTATGTTTCCTCTAGTGCATCACCAATAACATGAAACTCCAGCAGTTTGGCTCATCACTCTCCTTGCCTGACCGTGTGCTCACCTTCATCCGGGACCATCCCCTTATGGACAGGCCAGTGTTCCCAGCTGATGGCCACCCCCTGTTGGTCACTACAGATACAGTCTATCTCAGAGTGGTGGCCCACAGGGTGGCCAGTCTCTCAGGGAAAGAGTATGATGTTCTCTACCTGGGGACAGGTATGTTTAGTAGCCAAGTACATTGTCCATCTTGTGCATACATGCTCTTGTCAAGGAAGGATCCCATACTTACAGGTATCAGAGTCCCAGGCACAGGTACAGTATGTCATTATGTCTTGCCCCCTGCCTGCTTCCTAGAGGATGGACACCTCCACCGAGCTGTGCGGATTGGAGTCAAGCTCAGTGTCCTTGAGGATCTGGCCTTATTCCCAGAGCCACAGCCAGTTGAGAATATGAAATTGTATCAAGTGAGTTATAGATTTTGGGGAGTCTGGTGTGGAGACATTTGAGCCTGCTTGTGACCCTGAAGTCTAGGAGATGCAGAGTATTCCTTCTCATTCACTTTCTATAGAGCTGGCTCCTGGTTGGCTCCCGTACTGAGGTGACACAAGTGAACACAACCAACTGTGGCCGTCTCCAGAGCTGCTCAGAGTGCGTCCTGGCCCAAGACCCTGTCTGTGCTTGGAGCTTTCGGCTAGAAGCATGTGTGGCCCATGCTGGAGAGAGTGGAGGGTGAGTGTGGCTGCCCTGGCCTCTTGCCTGCTGTCACAGGGCTCTGATCCATCTATCCATCTGTCAGTTTCTCATCTGTTAGTGCTGCCCTGTGTGTGTGTTATGTCTTTTAGTGTCCCTTGTGTGTTTGTAAGTCTCTACTAACTCATCTGTTTGTCCAGCGTGCTGCCTCAAAGTCTGAGTTTGTGATTTCCTATTTCAAAGCCTAATTAATTTACTATACATGTTACTGAACCCTAAACTTACAAATATTTCAGAAGTAAAAGTACTTGTCTTTGGGGATCAATTTTTGGTTAAGAAGTTTGATCTGGTATTTTAGTTTCTCTTGGGATAACTCTGAAACATCTCAGGCAAAAGCAAGTGCTTATTCTTTCCTTTATTGTTTTAATATTCATTAAAATAAGAATCTCATTGGTCTTGGATATCCTTTGTACTTGAGCCTCAGGGTCTCCTCAACATATATATATGTGTGAAGGATGTAAGTGTGTGTATATGCTAGTGTACTTCTTTGTAATATGAGAAATTACCAAGCTGGTACTTCTATACACTCTACTCTCCATACCTCAATTCATACAAGGGAGAAAACATAGACCATGAAGTTCCTGTGGCTATAGCCACACATATGGCCTTCACATGTTCCCCACTGTCAGCTAAACTAAGCAAGCTTTGTTTTGCCCAGGAGACTTTAATGCATTTATACCAGTCTCAGAGTTCATTTCAGGGGCCTCGATTCATGTTGAAGGAGTTCACACTCAAACACAGTCTACCTTTGGTTGAAGCTTTTATGTGTTCCACCTGGTCTCTATTGACAGCCCACTAGGGGTCTCACTGGCCTCCCTCCCTTGTTCAGAGTGAGCAGTCTGTCTTGCTGTCCTTCTGTCAGACACAGTTCACTGAAATCCTGACAGTACTAGGATTGTATTATTTGAAACAGATCTTTTAGAGGTTAATAGGTACCAACAGTTGTTGAAGAAAGAGTTCCTACCCAGAGATGAGCAGCTTTATGAAACACAGGCATCTCACTGACCCTCACAAAATTTTGATGAACTTTTATAGAGAAGTTATACCTTTCTCTTAACAGAAAAACAAACAAACAACCCCTATAGTTTTAATATTTTTTCCCCAGAGAAATCTTGTGGTGTGGATAGTCAGCTACATTTCCTAGAAGGTTCCCATGTTTCTTTTAAAGCATACCACCAAACATCTTTCCAACAGACCTAGTGCAGGTTTAACTTTCTATGGTCTGCTAGAACATGTGTAGAATTTGACATGGCAAACATCATGAGGCATATAAGAGGTATTGGGGGAAATTTTAATGATGAGCATGTTGGCTGATAATTCTAGGAGTAATTAATGAGTTGCTGGGAGATGTAATGAGTAAATAAATGCTCAGTGGCACTGAGGAGGGTAGAAGTGAATGTGGACACTGGATTTACCAAATATTCTCTTCTTTGTAGGCTGGTCCAAGACATAGAGTCAGCGGATGTCTCTTCTTTGTGTCCTAAAGAGCCTGGAGGTCTGTCTGGTTTAGGGAAATGTGGGTGGAGTTGGGTGGAAAGATGCTAGAAAGTTGTCTATTTTGGACCCACTTTCAACCTTGGACCCTGGAAAATATGGCAGCCAGTGACCCAGGGCCTTACCCTTTTTGGGAATCCCCTTTTAGTTTTGCTTCCATAGCCCCTTCTCAAATCTGACATCCCCCCGTGTTTCTCTCCATCCCACCCCCAGCCTATAGCCTCACTAAGTTTTGTGCCTTTGCTGTCTCTCTACAGAACAACCAATAGTGTTTGAAGTTCCTGTGGCTACAGCTGCGCATGTAGTCTTGCCATGTTCCCCAAGCTCAGCTTGGGCATCGTGTGTGTGGCACCAGCCCAGTGGAGTGACTGCTCTTACCCCCCGGCGGGATGGGCTAGAGGTGGTGGTATCCCCGGGGGCCATGGGCGCTTATGCTTGTGAATGTCAGGAGGGTGGGGCAGCCCGTGTGGTAGCTGCTTATAGCTTGGTATGGGGCAGCCAGAGGGCCCCCTCAAGCCGGGCCCACACAGTGGGGGCTGGACTGGCCGGCTTCATCCTGGGGATTCTTGCAGCATCCCTGACTCTCCTCTTAATTGGTCGACGTCAGCAGCGACGGCGACAGAGGGAACTTCTGGCTAGAGACAAGGTGGGCTTGGACCTGGGGGCGCCGCCATCTGGGACCACAAGCTATAGCCAGGATCCTCCCTCTCCCTCTCCTGAAGATGAGCGGCTGCCCCTGGCTCTAGGCAAGAGAGGCAGTGGCTTTGGTGGCTTCCCTCCACCCTTCCTGCTTGATCCTTGCCCGAGCCCAGCCCACATTCGGTTAACTGGGGCTCCTCTGGCCACATGTGATGAAACATCCATCTAGGACTGGGCAAATGACCACTAGTGCATGAGTGAGCACTGGAATGGAGTGACCATTAAGATGCTGGGGTCACTGGGCCTGAAGACCGTCATGACCTTTGAGTTCTCTTTGGCCTTTGAGTGATCACTTGATTTCAGTGTCTGCCTTCTGTGGGCCTGGATGGGCTCCGGGACAGGCCTTTGTCGGAGTCCTGATTCCTGATTCCCATGAGAGATCAGAACTTCTCTCTGCAGTGAATCAGGACTTTCCCACACTTGTTCTTTGACCCCCGGTAACCCCTTCAAATCTGACCCACTATTTGGGGCCCATAAATTTGGGGAGGAACATAGGACATAGCTATGACTTTGCCTTCTGGTTGGACCCTCGCCAGAAGGAGGAGCTGTGGAGGTGGTTGGGGGCCACTGTGCACTGACTGAGTCTTTGGAGTGGTTTTGCTGATTCTCCCAGTTAGTCTAATTCTCTGTGGGGAGTGCATGTTCCCCATGTTGCAACATGGAATCTCTGCCCTGAGATCTCTCTCCACCCTCATTTTCCTTCTTCCATGAAAGAGCATGTGTAAATATGAGTGTTCATAGGAAACCTGGCCAAATGTGCATGAATGATTAGGCCAATGCTCAGGTGTATTCATTGGGGGTAAGGAGAGGGAAGACTGGGATGGGGGCATTGCCTGCAGAACTTTAGACCCTGTAGCCAGTGAAGGAATGGCTTTCCTTTCTAAAAGGAAATAAACAACTGCTCCCCTCTACCCCCTCATCGCTTCTCACAACCCTCCTGATGAGCTGAGAAAAACTCCCAAAGTGGCCTTCTGCATGGAAGGGCAGCGGGACATGTGACCCCATGTTTCTGTTTGTTTTTGCCTCCTGGCTGCCACCACTGCCATGCCCAGCTGCTCTTTCTCTGGCTGGTGTAGGCTGGACCCCTTTTCCTTGGCTCCCATTATAAATAAATTTCACAACATTCTAAATATTAGGGGACAACAAAAGGGGAACAGTCATAGGAAATACAAAGAGTATAAAGATAGGTTTGTATCAGTGACTTTACTCAGGTTGACACCCTTGCCCTAAAGCAGTTCTCCAGTGGGGATCCATGGACTCCCTGAAATCGTATGCAAAATGTTGTCTGTACATGTGTGTCTGTGTTTTTCTGGGGGGAGGTTTTATGGTTTTCATCAGATTCTCAAGGCCTTAACAAAGTTAAATGACCACTGCCCCAAAGTCACCACACCATTGGCCAAGCTGAGATGGTGCCACTCAGCAGCAGCTCTTCTGCCCCTCCCCACCTGCTCTTGGCCAGCCCTTGGACTTGCAGCTGCTGGATGCCGTCTTATTTCTCCAGACCCTGGAAGCTGGGCTCTGTGCATATTTGAAGACTCTCACCAAACTTAAAGACTTCTTCCTGCTTTACAACTTGCAGATGCTTTAGGCTTCTCCTGCTAAGTTCTGGTCTTGGCCTGTGAATGTGCCTCATTCATCCCTGGGGGACCCCCCCGCCCCCACCCTTGAGCTCCAATGAATGATCCAGCCCTTCCCAGTTGAAGTTTTCCGCTCGACTTTCCTTGGCAGCAGCCTGTGAATTACCCAAAAGAGTCCCCTTGGGTTTGGACTTATCAGTGGCTATGCCCTAATAAGGGTATGATCTTCAGCAAGTAATCTAACTTAGGAACATTGGTTTACGCATCTGTAAAGTGGGGATAATAATACCTACCTCAAGGTTGCTACAAGGATTAAATGAGAACATGTAAACAATAAAGCACTATCTATACCCGTAGAGGTGGTGGTTGTATAAAATATTGGACTATTATGCCATAATCATATAGCTTAACCAAATGATAACCATGACACATGGAATCACTTTAAAGCCCCATTTGGTGGAAGGAGGGTCATTGCCTCATAGACATACTGTCTTGCCTCATCCTGGCCAGATCTTAGCTGCCAGAGTCTAAGGCCTGTGTTTTTTTATAATCCTCAGATGTGTCTGACCTTAGTGACCTTATTAGTTCTGTACGGGAATGGAGGAAGGCTTGTGTTCTTGGGTTTGCCCTCACTTCACTCTGCTCTCTCAAGGTTATGGGTGCCATTTGCGGGGAGGAAAAGAGATGGGGAGATGTCAGAGGGGCTTGGGTCTCTGAGGAGAGGTGGAGGAGTTTTTCAAGGAGGGGAGGGATCAGGTCATGGTGGATTTGGGCATTCGGTTCTTGAAGAGTGGCTTTGGTTGGAGGAAAATGGGATGAGGAATGTAGGAAAAATGAGGAAGGAAGGAAATAGGCAGGAAAGGAGGAGAACCACCTCTTAGTTGGAAAGTTCAAGCCCGAGAGTGAGTGAGCGCTCGAATGTGAAGGCAACCCCTAGAGAAACTGTGAGTAATTGATTGAATTATCTTTGGGCTGGGGGGAGGGGGGTGGGGAGGGAGAGAATCTGTGGGTATGGGAGCTGCAGGAGGGTGCAGGGTTCCTGCGTGGATAATTGGGAGGATTCTGGCAGCCAGAGACCTGCCTGGCTTCACACATTAGAGCAGGCAGGGAGAGGGGTAGAGATGGGGCTTGTGCCTCACTTTCTGGCCCTCACTCTTAAATTCCCCTCTGGTTTTGCTCAGGTCCCTGGTCCCTAAACTGTCACTCTCAGCTTATCACTCCTACCAGTGGTCTGCTGCTACCCATGTGACCTTAATGAAAGCAGAGCCAGAAAGGGATGCTCACTGTTGTCTCCTATGAACAAACGAGCTCTAGCACAGCACTGGCTCTAACCCAACAGGAAGCCAACTCACATCCTTTCCCTGGAGACCCCCAGCCTCTCCCTTTCCCCAGCAGCCCACAACTTCACTGGTGGCCTCAGTAATGGCAGAAAAGTATCCTTTTGATATCTGCTGGGCCCTGACTGTCCTGGCTACTCTTCTTGTCAGAGGTGGGCAGTCATGGCTACAACAGACTGTACATAGGTCCTGCCTGTCTCAAGGGTGTGGGGATAGGACTTGCCTTTTTCTGTTGTAGCAGAGGCAAAGTTGGAATTTTTAAAGATTGATTTCACCAACCAGAGGAAAAACTAGCAATAAAAGCACAAGAAATCTTTCTTCAGTTTTTAAGTTCTCCCTGGTGGGCCCCAGGACAGGCCTCTATATAAGACGGCAACTTGTATGACCAGTAGACAGCAGTAGACAGCAGGTGTGGTTCCAGACAGGTCCATCTGGACTGATGCAAAATACCAGGTCCTGGTTGAGGTTGGGAAGAGCAAGCAACAGAGAAGGACCTAGCTTTCTGAGGATGTTAGATGGGGCCAGGGGCAGTTGGAAGGAGTCAGGTTCAGGTTCAGAGGGCTGCCCCAGGCCCTGTGGAGAAATATGTGTAAGCCAGGAACTCTCTTCCTCTCTTTTTCCCTTGGTTCCCAGCCCATGGAACTGGGGTTTCCCCTAGACACACTGGGCCTGGGATTTAGGGCTACAGGTGAATCTTGGACCTGTCCACTGGTAGGTGTGGCCCTCCTCATTTATGACAGAGTTGGCACTCTGAGACTTGGCAGTGCTGGACCACAGGCTAAAGGCTTTCGCCACCCACAGCTGGAACTATGGTTGGGGCAGAAGGAGCCAGCAACTGATGCTGGATCCAAAGACCAACATCTAACCCTCAGGTTCAAGCAGGTCCTTTGAGTTGAGGGAGGCTGGCAATAAAATACTTCCAGGACTGAGGTTCACTCTAGGCTCTCTCTGAGGCTTAAGTGTTGAGGAAGCTGGTTAGATCTCTCTGGTCGGAGGCTGGGCTAGAGAACTATGGGGAAAGCCCAGGCCTCAGGATTTCATAGGCATACATTGTATTTTTCAAGTGAGGGGTTTGAATTAGCCTCAGATGGAGTTACTGGAATTCTCCCCTACAAACCCCAAAATGCAAACACTCAGCACACATTTTCAGTACTCTCCTTTCAAGACACGCTTAATCATGTATGATAGGTAAGCTCCTGTTCCTTCCTCTATAAGAAGTGAGGAGGCAGAAGTGACCATTCCTCAAGGTGAGAGTGGGGATGGCTGTTTTAGTCTTTGAGTGACATAGACCTGTGCCCTGCTTCCACTCAGCTTCTCCAGAAGTGACACAAGCTCTGGTGGTATGGAGGGATGGATGCTGGATGCAGTCATGGCCTTGAGGACTGGGGAAGGGTCCCATACTTTGGTGTGAAAGGATGGAGCTGCCTGCCCTTGGGTTTTGTGGGCTATGATCATGCCCACTATAACTAATATCAGCATTTCTAAAATTAGCTGAGTCTGGAGTGTCTGCATTATGAACTGGCCTATAGACTGAGAGAGCAGAACTGGCTGTAGAAGGGTAGAGTTGAATGAGCACTAGGTGCCTAAAATAAAGGAGGAGGGCCTTCTTCCAGCCTTTAGTAGGAGCCATTTCCCCTAAGGTAGCTCACATATATCCACCAAATTGATCTTTTATCAGACTCAGAACCCATCACCTCTCAGATTTATGTAATTTGTCTGTGATTTTACCATGATACTAGAGCTTATCATAGATTGTGATCACCTGGCAATTCCCAGGTAAATGCCCTTAGAAAGAACGGAACGTAAACCTCTGGTGTCCTAGTTGACAAACCGAAGTGTCCACATGCTACCTCTACAAAGGTTTATGACAAAGCTGCCATTAGGAGCTTTGCTAGATAAGTTCTAATTCTTGTGGGTATTTATTGCTGTACTAGTCAGGACAGGCTTTGTTATGATATAAAAACAACAACCCCATGCTCTTAGTGGCTTAAAACATGTTTCTTACACACACTACTTAAAAAAGATGGAAATCCTGACACATGCTACAATATGGATGAACCTTGAGGGCATTATGATAAGTGAAATAAGCCAGCCACAAAAAGACAAATACTGTATGACTCCATTTATATGAGGTACTTAGAGTAGTCAAATTCATAGAGACAGAAGCTAGAATGGTAGTGGCCAGGGCCAGGGGTGAGGGGAATGGGGATAGAATTTTAGTTTTACAAGGTGGAAAGAGTGCTGTAGATAGATGGTGGTGATGGTTGTACAATATTATGAATGTATTTAATACCACTGAAGTGTGTACTTAAAAATGGTAGAGACAGTAAGTTTTATGTTATATACAAAATATTTTACCACAGAAAAAATAATGAAAAACAAGTACTGTCCTTGGCCCCTTGAAGCTCCTAATTCAGTGAGAAAGAAGACAAATGAACTGATAACACATTTGGAAAAGTGTTATTGTCAAGGTATGTTCCAAGTCCCAAGGAACCCAAAGAACACCGCGTTCTGCTGAACTGGCAGCTTGAGAAACAGACTTGAGACACCAACCAAAGGCTTTGTACCCCCTAACTGGACTCCCCTGAAGCTACCAAGACAGCCTTATGTGGTCTAGTGACATACAGTCAGTTTAGTGAGGCATGCATATGCTTCATCTGTTCTTTTTTCTGTATCCAGCTTTCCATAATGAAACTTTTAACAAGATGTTCTTCTATGAAACTAACAAAGGTTTTTAAACTTAAAAAAAAAAATCTTTATTGACTTCAGAAAGAGGAAAGGAGAGGGGGAAAGAGATGGAAACATCAATGAGGAGAGTCATTGATTGGGTGCCTCCTGCACGCCCCCCACTGGGGATCATGCCTGCAACCTGGGCGTGGGCCTTGACCTGGAATTGAACCTCGATCTCCTGGATCATGGGTCGATGCTCAACTGCTGAGCCACGCCTGGCTGGGCTAGCAAAGATTCTTAAAAAGGTGAATGATCTTTGTGCCCACAAGGGTTCGGGAGGGAAGTGGGCAGTCTATTATTGGAAGTGAAATTAGTACAAACTCTACAGAAGGCATTCTATTTTAATATCTATTAAAAATTTTAAAATGTATATATCATTTTACCCAGTAATTATGCTTCTGGAAATTTATTTTAAAGAAATAACAGTATAAGTGTGCAAAGATATGTTTCTAAAGGTTTTCATTTTAGTGTTAATCATAAGCCTAAATATTAGAAAAATCTAATTATTCAACAAGAGAAATTTGGTTAAATAACCCCAATATAGACCAGAAAAAAATGTGAAAAAAAGAGGAAACCATAGGGAAGATGAGCATTCCTGCCAGCTGGGGTATAAGAGTGGCTGCCCCTGCTTTACCAGTTCTTCACCAGCTCAGCATCACGCTAGTCGTCCATCTTTCTAGATGAGACTTAGTACAGCACCCCACCATAGAATTACCCAACTTCCTGGCAACACCCCCTCCAGAGCAAAGCCCTGCTTCCTTAAAGCCTCCTTGCAAACCACCTAGCACAAGCCCAGCTGCTCTAAGTCCTTTCTAACAGCCTCTTACTGAAACACTTCACAATTCCCCACGTGTTTGTAATATATGTTTCCACTGTCATAAAATGTGATACACACAAAGCTGTTAGCAATGGTTATCCTGATGAAGAATTTTTACTTCTTTTAAAAAACAATATGCATGTAGAAGAAAGGAGAAAAATGAAGAGAGAGTGATGATGGCAATTGTAGTGGCTCTAAACTAAGTGTTAAGATAGTGATGTTATTGGATGATCTTTATTTTCTACAATGAATTTGCATTACATATGAATATGAAAAAAGTTATTTTTAAATATGATAAAATTGTCACTTTTCCAAGGAAAATACTCTGACCAATTTTAATTTTTATTTTTGCAATGGTGTCTTGTTCCTGACTAAAATTATACACAAATCATGGCTGGTTTGAAGTCTTCTCTTTTCCAGGTCAGTTGCAGTGCAGTCAGGGTGCAATAGGTGTCGCTCGTTCCCCAAGAAT